CCATCCCCCCCCCTCCCCCCCCTCTCCCCGATACAGCCAGCCAGCATGCCATACAATCCAACCGACAGGCTTCCCCTACACAACACGGGAGTCGTTCTTTGTCCGTGACTCTCTTTACCTAATTCATTCTGATCGAGTACTATCACAAGCTGCATGAATGTGCTCCTTGTCAGTGGCCCCGACAGCTACGCAGCGGTCGCTCCCCGTTTGTGTAGTCGCAGCATCTGAAACGACTGGCCTTTCAGGCTGCTGAGCAGGGGGAGTAGCACCGAGCGGCAGAGACACCGCGTATTCCGGGTTCCTCGCGTCTTCTCCCATCTTCTGCTGCCCCTTTCAAGGGCCTGCTCTGGGGCTGTGCTGCTGCTTGTGCGGCCCTTTTATTCATTCCTGCTGGATGCATATGTGTGTTGATCAACAGCTGCGGCTGTTTCATGCAGCCGCTGACCTGTGCTCCTTGCTTTCGTTTACTTCCGAAGGTTGGTACAGGGGCCCCATTGTCGTATTAGTCTCCTCCGAAGCTGCCCTAAGGCCCAACCCCTAAAACTCAACAAACGTCATGCAGCGGAGTGTTGGCGGTTCATCGCCGATTAACGCGCCAGGGGACCGCAGCACGCCTTCTGCGCTAGGGCAAGGGCTTCAGCCCCCTCCCCCTCCTGAGGGTGCATTATCCGTATCGGACCGCGTGGCAGCTGCGGCAACGGCAGCAGCAGCAGCGGCTGCAGCAACGGCAGCAGCCCGTGCAGAAGCAACGGCTGCGACAGCCAGGCGCTACCTACAGCCTTGGGTACTTGTTGACAAGTACAGCAAATGGAGACATTTAGATCAAGAGGAGCTGAAATCCTGGCAAGCAAAGGGCGAAGCCATCTTTCGGGAGCACTTGCTGCCTTATGTCCCTTCAGATGTATCCCCGGCAGTCGCAGCTGTTGAGGCGGATGCAGCAGCAACCACATCGGCTGCTGCAGCTACAGGCGCTGCAGCAGCAGGATCGGCTGCAGCAGCAACAGCAGCAGGCAGCGGGAGCACCCCTGCCTCTGGCCGTGCCGCCGCCAGCACGAGCGCGGCGGCCGCAGCGGCAGCAGCAGCAGGGACGAATCGCTTTAGTGCTTTATTTGGAGGTTCTGTTGCTCCTCATCTTTCTGCTGCAGCTCTAAGTCACCATCCATGGACAGCCGAGCAAGTCAGAGATGTGCTGCGAGTAGAGATATGGTCAGGAGTTCCTGATGCATTCAAATGCTGCGTATTGATTCATTCAAATGACGCAGTACAGCAACAGCGGCTGCATCCTACGTTGTACAGGCAGGTGCAGCTGGAGTCGTTTGGGCCGCCTCCTTTTCCGGGTTCTGTGCCCGGCAGGTGTCCCACGTTTAGTGGGGGTTTACTGGGGCTGGAGGAGGACGTCTGTGGTGTACAGACAACTCTTAATCAACTTGAGCTTGATGGAGACGCGCCATTGGCCACCTGGAGATCTGCTCCAGATGATTTCGGCCCAGCAACTGCAACCAGCGCCTCACGCCCAGCACGCGTTCGACTCCCGCATCCGTATTTCCCTGGCATTATGTCCCCTGGTGGCAAAGGTGCAAGGAGCCCCGGGAAGAACCCGCTGGGGCAGCGGCTGAAACCGGAATTCAACTTCTGGCCAGACACGAGTCGAAGGGCAGAAGAAGCGGAAGAAGAAGCACAGCAGCAGGAAGAAGACAAGGGGGGTCGCAGCGGCAAACAAGAGCAGCAAAAGAAGCAACGGCAGCATCGTCATTCCCACCCCGAGCAGGAACAGCAGCAGCAGCTGGGTTGCGGGAGGGGTCGAGGTTCATGTCAAAGAGAGAATTCTATTGATGAGCTTCTGGCATACATCGGGCCCAACAACAAACGTGCCGATGTGCTTCCTTCGGGTGGGTCAACAGGAAAGGCAGTAGAAAGCGGAGGGCCCGTCATGAGGGCTGCCCGCAGGTGGCCGCGCAGAAGCAGCAACAACAACCAGGCGGGCAAGGAGCTCCAAAATCGGCAGCCTCTTCGCGGCGGAGAATCTGGCGGGCCTGATGGAGGAGGAGGAAAGAAGGGTTCACCAAGTGGCGGCGAGGGCCGACGAGATTGTGCTGAGTCTGAAGGGCTGAAACCACAGAGCCCAGCGGATGCTGCAGGCGTTTCCGCTGGTATCGAAGGGGCATCGGGCGGAGGGGGGCCTCTGGGTAGTGGAGGAGGCGGAGGGGGGCCTTTAGGCCGGTCTCCTACTGCTGAAGCAGAAGTAGCTTTGGATTTGTTTGGGCGGCGAGAGGTAGACGAGCTGGTGGAGTTCTCTTCTTACATGCGGCACCGACACCTGAAGGCGAAGCGGCAGGCGGTGCAGATGAGGGAGGCGACGGAGCGATCAAGGGATCGCGTTGCATTTGAAGCTGCAGCAGCAGCAGTGATGGCTGTGGCGCGTGAGATCGACAACGAACAGGACAAATGGTTGCTGCGGCGTTATTACACTGCAACTTCCTTTGACCTCGCGGCCAAAGGCCTCTGGGCCCAAGGCAAAGGCAAGCGCAGAGGTGCCTCCGAGTCACAGCTCCTACTCGCTTTTGACAAAGGCACAGCAGCAGCAGCGCATGGAACCGCCGCCGCCACACCCGCATCCACCAGACAAACGGGCCCCACCAAGTCGTTTGTCAGCTTTCTCAGACGCAAAGCTGCTAGAGACACGCAGCAGCTTCCTCACTCCCCTCTCCAGTTCTGCAAACCACGGCGCCTCAATGACCCCGCAGGAGGCCAGCAAGGCGGAAATACCCAGCGAGGGCCAGGGCTACACCCCAGCCCTGCCGCTGCACCGTCAGGGGGCTCCCAAGGGGGGGCCGCATCCGCATCAGGAGCATTCCCTGGCTCACCTGATGCTACTGTTGCTGTGAGTCCGGGAAAGGCTGCTGTTGGGACCCCCAGCTCCGGTCGTGGGAACGCGGCGTTGTTGGCACCAGCTCGCTTGTCCCCCAACTCTGGGGGTCTGTGGAGCAAACTGTCGAATGTCAAAAACAAAATCAAGACCAAGGGCACTGCAAGTACCACCACCAGCAGCAACACCAACAACAAAGGCAACGCCTCCGTTGTCAACTGGCTTCAGCAGGCAGCACGCAGCAACAGCGACACTTGGGGAGGCCCTCCTACGGGGAAGAACCCACAAGGGGGTGGTGCCTGGGGCCCGCTTGAGGGAGCCTTGGGGGGGCCTCTAGGTGTCTCGGCAGCGCGATTCTCCTTCGCTGCTGGGGAGTCCCCTGTATTTTCGCGGCAGCCTGTGCGCCGTCGGAGTTTTCTATCTCGGATACTGCCGGGTGTGGGCTTGTGCAGAAGGGGGAAGAGAGAGGAGCAGGAGTTGAAGCGTATTGACTTCTTACGGAATGCAATGAGGGCAGGAGACGATCCCTTTGAGACGAACAAACTCGCTGCTGCTGCAGCGAGCGCAGCTGTCCGAGATATCCGCAGACGCAGCAGCAGTAGCACACTTAGCGAGGACCTCATTGAATCCGCTAAGGGAGCGGCAACTGCTGCGGCCGCAGCGGCTGCTGCGGACTTCCCTCCGCTTAGAGGTGGCAGCCTTCACGCTCTTCCAGAAGACGACACGAATGAAGGCCTTCTCCCTGAGAGCCAATGGTCTGTCGAGCAGCGGCAGCAGCAGCTTACGCTGCAGGAGGCGCAACCGATGCAGGCCGGTTCTCATTTCTTGTTCCCGAATACAACCATGCACGGGACAGATGCAGCAGCAGGAGGTGGTGGAGAAGGGATTCCCTACCTGCGCTACAGGAGCGCCACGATGCCAGACCCTCAGCCCAAGTCTTCAGTGCTCCTTTTGCCTCCCCTACCACCGAATAGCGTTGACTTTTACGAACAGCAGCAGCAGCAACATCTCCAGCGGGAGACAGCGGAAAGTTCGCCCAGCAATTCCCCTACACAGAAGTCTAGAAGTTGGGAAGAACAAATAGAAAAGGCAGACGGGTACCTCCTGCTCAGTGTTCCACAGGCTTAGGTTTTATCTCCTGTTGTCTGGGGTTGCATCTTATTGTTTGCGTTTTGGGGCCATAATCCATGTTTCACGTGTTCTCCGTCCTCTTGTCGGGCGTTTGTTTCCTGACTGCTTGGGACATCTCTGTGCGGGGTAGAGGTATTTTCAGGTTTAGCGTTCTTGATCTAAGGTGTAGGTTCTGTAGCTTCTCGAGTTTGTGGGGTTGATCGGGAAAACGATCTGCAAACCGCGTTTGATGCGGAGGACTGTTGATACGTTTTATCCTTAAACAAGAGCTCTGTGATCCTGAAGGATCGGGACCGGATTGCGGCTTGCGGGTTGCGGCTTAGGACGACGGTGTATTTCCTAGAGGACGTGACGGACTTCTCTCGTTTGTTGAATCCAAGCGGGCAGGCGGCGGCACGGCGGCTCTTGTGGGCCCTTTTTGCGTTCTTTAGAGGGGGGTTGGAGTTCTGTCCGGTGGGTTAGCTGCAGCTGCATGCTGGTGTTGTGTGCCCTGGTGAAGCTCGCGTGCACACTGTTGTGGCAATGAGTGTGCTTGTACCCAACTTGCTGCTGTCCATCAGGACGCCGTCGTCTTCTTCTCCTTGTTTTTGTCTTAACGTTGATGTCTTTTTCCCATTTTAGCTTCTACACTACCTTGGTGCCTAAGGCTTTTTGGTTTGAAAGTTTAGGGTTGCTGCGTTGTTTGTGTTTGGGGGCCGCCCACTCAAGGGGAATGCTTGGTATGAAGTTGCTTGTTGGGGCTTCCACTGGTGTAGTCAATCCCGTAGATCTAGTTTGTTTCTCAGCTTCCGCTATCTGTGCTGCGCTGTCGCATCTCAGATTATTCCCCACCTTGCGTGCATCCTGCTGCTCTACATGAGCGAACCCGCAGCTTTCTCTGTCCTCTTCTCCCTCATTAAAAAGGCACAGGAAACCGCAAGGAAGAATGCAGGCGCCCACAAATGTCAGTTGCCACAAACTCTAAGCCTTCATGTGTTTTTGTTCCTTTCATTGCCTTCTTAAACAGTGCATCCTCTTACTGTTTATCGAAGTGTCTTGACTTTTCGTTTGATGTTACCCGATAACAGCTCCCTTTCTAGTTGTCAGACTTTGAGGGTTAATGCCTACGAGCTTATAGTTTGTGTGCTGTGCGTGGTTTCAGTCGTGCAGAAGCTGGACCATGTTGTGATCAAACGCAAAGACTTCATCTGGCATGTCCTAAACCTTAAGACCCTCATTAAACTCTTAGCCCTCAACCCTGTCGAAACCCTATTTCTCGAGTCGTCGAACCACCAACACGAAACCCTGATTCCAAATAAGCGTAGAGCCATGATCTGGCTTGCCTTAGCACATACATTGGGTTTAGTTGTGCCAGTCTGTGGTTTAGGATAGGTGGCGTGACCAGTCTGATGTTTATAGTGTATGTGCACTGTATCCAGCGTGGTAACAGTGTATGCGCAATGCATACACTGTGCAAGGCACTGCATGAGTCGAGTTATATAGTGCTTTGATCATGTGTATGTGCACTTTCTGTGCAATGTGTGCGCCCTGTGCATGCTGTATCAAGGGGCTGGTTGTTGTTCGTACCGAGCATAGAGCAGCTATCAAGGGTAGTTTCATGCATTGTATGGCTGGCAAGTGCGTGTGGCGTGTGCATGCGGTATGTTAGAGTGTATGTGCAGAATGCATGGAGCGTATTTGCAGTATGCACACAATGTATCTCTCTACGGCGTAGCGGTATCATGCATCCAGATGGAGGGTATGCGTGCGTACTGGATTCAGTGCGTGGGGTGGCGAGGCCCCAGTGTGCCAGTGATGTGAGCACGTTTGGGTTGTTTGATATCTATATGACGATTATTGAGTGCGTGCATTCTCTGCCTGCGGGTAGCGAATTGTGGGGGGGTGTTGGCGCAAGCACGTACTGCTGCTGCCACTGTTTAATGCAGGTTGGTGACGGCTGTTGTGGAGGCAATAAGACTGAAGTTCCCGCGTCTTTTCCTGCACATGCGTCACTTGGGGGTTGATGTGCCGGCGTGGGCAGCACGGGGTTTGCAGGATGCATTTGCGCGTCTTCTGCCCTTTGATTTTGTCCTCCGCATTATGAGTGCATTTCTCTTTGAAGGCAGTCTAGCCCTGTGCAAATTCTCGCTCGCCCTCGTTCAGCTTCTAGAGGTAAGGTAGACACCGGAGCAGCTGTCTTAAAGCCTGAGCCCTCGAACCCGAACATTGCACACATCCTAACGCTTCAGGCCGTACTCCCCCGGCTTCAGACTGTAGAATCTGAGGGCGCATAAGCCCTCAAGCTTCATGATTAGGGATCTAGCTGAAGGTTTGTAGGCTTATGGGTTGGGACTAGGGATTGTAGGTTTATGGGATGGAACAAAGTATGCAGGATATAGTGCAGTGTTTAGAGATGCTAGCACTAATCATTGGTCCTTGGATTAGGGTTTGGGCCTTCGGCTTCAGGGCCTATGGCGTAGATCTTAGGGTTTAGGCTACAGGCTGAGGCGTCGAGTTTATGGCGAAGGCTAAAGTTGAGGGCTTTAGATCGGCCACTAGTGCGACGTTTGAGCCCCAGGGTATGGATAGCGCTGGGGGTTAGGGCACAAAGCATAGGGTGCAGCGCCTATGGCTTGGGTGTGTGTCATTTGTTGCAGCCTGAGCTGATGGCCTGCGACACAACGGAGGCAGCCGAAAGAGTCCTCTACCGCTGCAGCACAGACCCGCGGCTAAGCATCAACGAATTGTCTTCCGTAAACCCTAAATCCTAACTACCCTCTCTCTATTAGGCATTGGATGTTCTAACTGTGTTTACATTTCACGCCACTAGTGCCTTCAGCTAACGCTCAGCCTACTTCGTTTGCCGTGGGTAAACGAAGCAGGTTAGGGATTAACCCTCACGAGGAGCCTTGGGCTCTCTCTGTCCGTTGGTGGCTTGGCAGCTCTCGCGTGTGAACGTTTGCTCCAACCTTTTGAGATTTCCAGGCTCATAGTGGGGTCTAGTGGGTTTAGGGTAGGGGGTCTAGTATGTTTGGGTTTGGAAGGGTTTGGTGTGAGTTGCAGACGGCCCAGAATCTGAAGCCGCACATTTGGCGAGTTGTTGGGTAGGCCTTTCCTGCCAGCACCCCTTAGGCGAAAAGTTAAGCCTGAATCCTGAACTTTCACGAGCGCTTTTTATTCCACTGAATTTATATCTATCCAGGCCAACCGTACCCCTGCTCTCATCCCTCGGGATTTGGGATTCGGGATTTGTTTGTTCTCAGGGACGGCACCACAGGGCTGCAGAGCCCTTACCTTATGTCTACGAAAATTGTAAGGGTTCGGAGTTGAGGGTACATAGCGTGCTGTTAGGGTTTGCGTACTTTTGTATCGGTCTAGGGTTTACGGTCGTTTGCCCCCACAAGCATACCTGAACTCGTTATTCGCCTCCCTTCGTTGTCCCTTCTCTTGTGGGTTTTGCGCCAAGTTCTACGGTTTACAGCTTATGTTTGTTGCAGCACGAATTCTTTACAATTCGTCCCGAAGGCATCTCAAGGATCATAACTTCCTTGGACACCTGGGAAACACTTTGGCGCTGGTTGCCTGACATTCTCAGATACTCCGTAGGCCTCACCAGTCCCATACCTATCCAACTAGCTATCCCTGTAACTGCGTGGCTAGTTGGCTAGCTATGTTAGGTGCATGTGTACCTTCTCATTGGGTTGATAGCCAGCTAGCTAATGCTATAGTAGGTGATCTGCTGGCTGGGTGGGCAGCGGGGTAGCTAGGAAGATAACATACAAGGCGCTGTCAGAGGTGTTTGCATCTTGACTCTCACGGTTTGCCGGCAGAAGGTTTAGCCTCGTATTCATTCATATCGACGTGTGCTGCTGAGAGCTTCTTTTCACGCCTTATGTCTAGCGCTTCGTGGAGTTCACTGTCCGTTTCGGCATGTTGTTGAGTTGCTTACATTCGAAGTTGTTATTTGCTGGTTTTTGGTCGTGTTGCTTTAGTCTGCTGGGGTTTTTGTTGATGGACCATTTTTTCCGTTCGAATATTTTGATGTATGGCATCGCCTGACGGATGGCATCTGCATTTTCTATCTCTAGTAGTGTCATATTTTGAATGGGTGTGCTTCTATTGGCATTTTGATTTCTTTCCCGCTGCTTACAACTTGTTTGCTTGTTGACTCGTTCTCCATTTCGTGGTTGCCTGCCGTTTGCTTTTCTGTTTGTATCTCGTTTCTTGGTATGCTGAACTGCCGGTTTCGTTTGTTTACCTGCCCTCCATTTGCCTGTTTATTTGCCATCCGTTTATGTTCCTGCGTTGGTTTGTTGCACGTTTGGTTTCCTGGTGTTCCTGCTGCTTGTTTGTGATTTTTGTGTGTTCACCCCGCGTCCATCTCCAATTATCCACCTTTAATTTAGTGTACTCGTAGTTGTTTGCTTTATATACACGTATCTAGTGTGCCCGTGTATTGTCTCACTTCAGCATTCTGTGTTAATGTTTGCTGCAGACGCCCTTCTTGATCTTCAGCAGTAGCCATGACGGGTTTACTTTATCTGCTCTCTTGAATCGTGCATTATTTTATTCCGCTCCCTTCATTTTTCTCGCCACAAGCGACAATCACGACGTCTTCGGGTTCTTTTCCCCCGTCTCCTTCGATGCTCACAACAAGAACTCAGCCTGTGCGAGATGAATTTGTTGTTGTGCTTGCTTGCCCAGTATTTTATGACTTTTTTCTGTGGACGTTGCCTGCGCAACATTCAGTGTCCACGCTCTCGTGTACATCCTTCTGTTCATCCACTCTTTGGTTGTTCGTTTTTGCCGTTTAGTTTGGTACTGTATCCTTAAACTTTTTATTTTCGCTTGTGGAGCCAAATGGGTTGCGATTTCTGCATCATTTTGTTTGTTCTAGCACGTAAATAGTGAACAGCTCGCTTTTTCTCTGCGTCTTTTTCAGATTGTATATTTGCATGCAGCAAAGTGTTCGATGTATATACTGAATTGTCCGGCCAATGCCTGCCTTCGCTTTCCTGTTTTCAAGTCATCGTGAACCTCTCTTTCTGCAGTTTTTCGCTCCTTTTTCCTGTTTCCTACCGCTCTGCGGTCTATAATGCTCTTGTCAGTTCACCTTTTCTTTTGACGCTTCTTTAGCTCTGGCGTTTATGTGGGCCGTTGCTTCTAGCCTTTTATGTTTGGGGCTTGAGCGCATGTTGGTTGCTGTTTCTACATTTCCTTGTGTGGGGCTTGATTGCACGGTGATTGTTGCTCGGAGCTGTCCATGTCTGGGGCTTGCATGCGCAGGCTTTTCGTACAGCGAGGCCTTTGTGTTTACTTTGTCTCCTCTTCCCCGCGCATTTTGGTGGACTGGCGCTAACGGTGTCTTTCTTCGCGTGCGCAACGAAGGGCTTTTCCTTGGGAGCGATGGGTAAGAAAGTATTACTCAGTTAAAATACAGAGTAGGAGACAACACTATGCAGCCGCAATATGCCAATTGGGTGGAACTGCAAGTGCACCGAGATGGAAGAGAAGGAACGGAAATGAAAGAAACTGCAAAGAGTATCCGTGCGAATAGGATTAAGTCCAGGTACACCTAGGTAGAAAGGTATAGATGAATCTGTAGTTCAATGCAAGAACGCACATGTAGAACTACAACTCAGTGAAGTTACGTGGGGAAGCTTTTCGATAGATTTGCCGATGTAAACCGAGCCCAAGGCAAATGAACAGAATACGTGTAGAATCACATTTCAGTATGTTGGCGAATAGATTCACTACAGATAAGTGCAAACACAGTTAGCAAGTGCAAGTTCAGCTAGGTATGGCTAGACACCAACGAATATAAGTGGATGCGGAAGGCCGTGCATAAGGAAATGGAAATGTGAGCAGCTGCATTTACGCGTTAGTAGGCGAAACTAGTGAATTTTCTACGAACCCACAAGTACCACGCTAAATTCACCGTCGCTGCTGCGGGCGGACTGTCGGTCATCCTCTCCCTAAGGTGCTTTCCCTTGGGCCTTCTTTCCCGAATTTATGCATTTGCTTGTATGTGTCTATTCCTGCATAAAATTTTCTTGTACATCCCAGTATTTGCTTGTTTATTTTGTTGCGTGTTTGTGCAGCGTGGCCCTATGGGTAGACCCTGACCTGTCACGGTGCCGCAGCAGCGCGTCAGCCTCCTTTGCTTCTCAAAGTCTTGTCACTTCCGAATTCGGCGACTGTTCTCTGTTGCAAATTGAAATTTGGGGCCTTCGTTGACCAATGTGCTATTAGTTGTACATGCTGTTAGCATTCACATTATGCATAGTATTGATGTATGCATATGCAATATGCATGTGCGCACATTTGGATGTATGCGTAGATATAATGCATACAATATGCGTACTCCTAAATGCATACATATATGTGTACAATTTATGACCTATAATGTAAGCCATATTTAAACGTGCTTACAAGCGGCGAACATGAGCACTTTTCCCCATGCAGTTCCTCCTGCTGTACTGGCAGTTGCTGCAGCAGCAGCTGCTGCTGTCGTTATTGCTGCTGAGGGTTGTGGATTGCCAGCAGCAGCAGCAGCCTCGTTTTTTTTTTGTATTTTTTCCTCCGAGTCGCTGCAGCACAAGCTGAACGTGGCCTTTACGTTTGCTGGATTGTTGTTTTACGAGCCCTAAGCAGGTGGTCGAGCACGTGTGCGTGCATGCAGTCGGTTGTGGCTTGTGCGCGTTTTTGTTCTGGGCTGTGCTTTTACACCAACAGGTGGCGTGTGCGTGCATCCAGTGTGTGGAAGGCTTACTTTGGGCTTCTGCATATATGTAGAACTGTTTCTCATCGCAGAAACAACCCGCGGTGGCTGCAGTGTCTGTGCTGGCTATCAGCTGCTGCAGTTTTTCCTTTCACAGAACCAGCAGTAGCAGCTGATGCTGTTGTTGCACTTGCAGCTTCTGCTGCTCGTCACAGCGGCAGACGCACGTTTTTTGCTGCTGCTCTTGCAGCAGCAGCAGCTAGTGCTGCATCCTTCGCTGTGCAGTGGTAAACGATGATGGGAAGTACACCGTTAGGAGATTGCAGTATTAAAGATAAGTGCAAGTGTGTGTACAGCCAATTAAAATGTGATGAGCATTTTTTTTTCCTGTTGCGCAGCTGTTCATAAGTAGAGCTGCGCGGGGAGACGGTTTGAAGCACCCCCCGTTTGTGACGTGCATACACCGCATTGAACTACCACAACGTTCTACAGTAGCTCGCTGGCCTGCCGCCGCAGTGACCACTTAACAATAAGATGGAGGACAGTAAACCTATCGAAAAATACAACATACGTATGACGCCGAAGCTCTTCAACAGTTAACTGGAGGGGGGCATGCCCCAGAATTTGGACTTGGCGTTCGTGGCTTTGTTCCTTTGTGGCGCTGCTGCAGGCGAGCTGTCAGCACCAGCCTTTCAAGGTGCTGCATGTAGCGGTTTGCTGCTGCAGACAGTTCCGCTGAGGTTTCTGCAGCCGGCACTAGCACCAGGAGCTGCAACAGCTGCTGAAACACGGTAGAATTGCGCCGGCCTTCATGTAACACCTGGGGTAGTAGAAGCAGCAAATCAACATCTACTGGGCACCCGAATGTGCTCCTACTGTTGATGCTGCTGCACGGCGTGGGAAGGGTTGCTGCGGCAATTCCAGAACATGCGTTTAGAGCGATGTTGCTGTTCAGAGGCCCAATTTTTCCACAACCGGCGTTAATACTACCGCTGCTGTCGCTGCTTTTGTGGAGGTCGGCAGCTCCCCGTGCTGCAGACTGCAAGAAGGAGAGAGTTGCGGGGTGTATTGAGCGATAACCCGCTTCTAAGTTGGCCTCTCCCTTAGAACCATCAAGCAGAAGTAGCACCGTACGCGGTACGAGCTGGGAGCTCCTGCACCAAAAGCAGCAGCAGCAGTCATTCCCAATGAGATGAGCCACCTAGTAGTGGGGATGGAGGGAACAAGCTGTGGGGCACGCTGCACGCAAGCATCGCATGCATGGGGTGTGCTTTGAAGGAGGTGGCCACTCGTTGTAAATTAGTGGCTGTTATCTTTGTGTGTAGGCGTTCGCCTTGTGCTATGCTAATGGACAGTTATCTAGTGCTCTCTGTGTACTATGCGCCGCAAAACACCTAATGTAGTCCCCCAACCTTATGCCCTCAGCGCACTTCGGGGAGCCTCGAAAGGCCAACTCAAGCAGCAGCTCAAATACCAATCCGCTCTGCTGCTCCAGCAGCAGTCGCTGCTGCTGCTGGAGCTCCCGCTGTAGGCGGGCCTCCTGCAAATGCTTCTCCTCCAACTTTTGCTGATGCTCGTGCCACTCCGGAAACGCCGCAACAAGGAGCTCACGAATGCCTGGAGAGGACTCCGCTGGGTCCACGGGCGAGGCTCCAGGGCACCCTTTCGCTGGCTGTCGCTGCTGCTTGTGCTGCCCTTGTTGACGTGGTGACTGCTGCCGGGGCAGCAGGCGAAGCACCACTGCAGCGGCACTCTGTACACGGTAAAGACCTGCAACCCAATCACCACGACCACACCACAGCAGAAGGCATACAATGTGGGCAGCAGCCAATGCGGCTGCGTCGCGAGATACAGCAGCAGCAACAGCAAGGGCCACGGCAAAGGAAGTTTGCCTTTGAGTCCCTTACCGCAGATATTGACAACCATTTCTGCCAAAGACTCTCCACTGAGCTGACGCAGGCAGCCAATACTGCAACTGCGGTGCAGGAAGGACAAAAATCCTCCTGCTATAGTTGCTGTGTGTGCTGCAGCAGATGCAGCTGCACTCAGCAGCTCATTTTTCTCCCCGGAAGTCTCAGCTCCAACACAGGCAACATCACAAAACAACGCAGCAGATAATGCTGCTTCTAAGTGCTGTGCCAAAGGACGACACAGCAGCCAGCCTCCCCAAGGCGCGCCTGCTGCTGCTGCTTGTGCTGCAGCTGCAGGCCTGACACCAGCAAACGGCTGTAGCAATGGGCTTAGCAGCTCCTCCCACAGCTGTAGGAAATGCACTCCACAGCTGGCACACACCGATAGCACAAGGCCGCAACACTGTAGGTACTCCTGTTGCTTCTGTTGATGTTGCAGCTCCTGCAGCAAGGTGGGGAGGAGCTGCAGCAACTCTGACCGGCCAAGGGCCTGCTGCTGCAGTAAGCAATGCAGCAGCACCATAGCAGTCCTGCAGCAGTAATATCCACAGGGACGAAATTTCCCGCTTTCTCCAAAACTTTTAGTTTCAGCTGCCAAGGCCAGCCGCAGCAGCAACTGCGAAGGCAACAGCGGCGACAGCAGCAACGCTAGCTATGACATAACCGACAAGAGCAGTGGGACTAGCAGCACCAACAACCGGCTACTTCTGCAATTTCCGAGGCAGCAGAACCCTACTGGTCTTTTGAAGAAGCGCCGTCGGGGAAAGCCGCCGCGGAACCTAATGCTGCTGCTGTTTCAGCGTCAGCCAAACACTGCATGTACGCTGTACGGCAGGGAAGTACCAGTTCTCTCTTGTGCTGCTGCTGGGTCTGCTGTTCTTGGATACCATCAGCAGTGGCAGGAACACCAACTGCGCGTAAAGCTGCTGCTTGCGCTCTCTGTGGAGACACTGAGCAGAGCCCAGGGACCTCCTGACTGGGGCTCCCTATGTCATCTGCAGCTTTAAAGTAGCTCAGAGCTGCTGCTAAAAGCGAAGGACTGGTGAGGCCCATGCCGCCGTAAGCACGAATGAGCCGCTGCACCCGCAATCACCGCAAGCGCAACAGCCGCTGCAGCAAGAGCATCTGCAGCAACGGCAGCTACAGCAACAGCAGCTGCAGCAACAGCAGCTGCAGCAATGGCAAAAATAGCAGAATAGCACGCAGCCACAGCTGAACCAACCAGTAGCTGCTGTCGCAACCTCACATTCATCAACAAGAAGTATAATCGTGCAGCTTTACATACCAGCAACTGCTGTAGAGAAACCTCAGATGCTGCTGTGTCGGTTATGAAACCTAAAAAGACCAGCTCATCATTGTCTATACACTATGCGCACACCCTAAACCCGACACCGTGAACCCTATACCCTGTATTTGATGAGCTCGCACTGGCGACAGTGATTTCTCGTCCATTTTGGTGCTGCTACTCTTCCCACTTCGACGTCAACGCTTCTGCTACCGCCTGCGTTTCTTCTGTTGCTGCGAGTCTACTCCCGATGGTCAGCGCACACTTTGTTGCAGCAGCAGAGATTGACGTACGAGAGTTAAGGGCGTGTAGTGCATCAGTGCTTGTGGGGTGCCTATCCTGTGGCTGGAGTTGCAGCAGCAACTCTGCCAATTCAACCAGCTGGCCAGTAGAAAACCACGCGCACCTGCGGCACCAGCATAGGCGGAAATGACAGCAACACCAGCAAACCCACAACAGTAGCAAAAACTGCAAGCAATGCAACGATGAGGGACCCACGATTGACGGCGCTCAATACGGCCCCAACAGCACCATCAGTAGCAAGACAAACAGTAGCAACACCAGCGGCAACAGTAGCGGCAGCTCCTGCAACAGTTGAGTAAGACTGGGGGCTGACCTAGAAGCAAGTATGGCGGACGTTCTCTGGAGCAATGCAGGACAGGGAACCTCAGCAGCAGCAAAGAGACGTAGACACCGAAGCACCAACCTACAGAAGGCAGGCTGTTGATCTTCCCTTGCTGCTGCTGTTGCTCTTCTTGTTTTTCCCGCCGCTGATGGTTGTATAATAACCGCACTAGCAGCAGCAGTAGCAGCACAAACGGGCGGTTCAGCAACAACAGGTGCAGCAACAGTAGCACGTTGCGCTGCCTGTGCCAGTTTCGTATGCAAGGTTCCTTCGATACACTGCAACAGCAAAGGCACATCTCCAGCAACAGCAGCTGCTGCTGCGATAGCTGCTGCTTTATTCTTGCCCCCGGATTCGCCTGCAACCGCAGCAAGCGCCGCCGTAGCTGCTTCTCTTGCTGTTGCTGCTGCGGAAACTGCAACTGTGGCTGCTGGGAGCGCAGCCGACGGTATTCGCTGCAGTGACTGCAGTGCCTCTATCGACGACAACAGCTGAGGAAGGGAGAAGCCTTCGGCATGCTGCAACACACGTCTTGCATTCTAATTAGTAAGATGTAAGCTTTAAGTAGGCTCAAACAACCACACTCGAACCAAGAACCTCAAGTATCAGACCCACTACACCAAACCCTAAGCCGTACCATTCTTATTTGTTCTCGCAGCTCTAGGAGCATCCGTTGGTGACGTTCAGTAAGTGCTTTCCATCCTGGGGCCCCTGCTCCTGCTGCGGCGGCGGCGGAGACGGCAATGCTGGCGATATCTGCCGGAGCCAAGGCCTGAGCAGCATCAGCTGCAGCAACAGCAAATGCGTTCCAGAAGGCTCTATCAGCGGCAGCAGCAGCAGCAGCAGGAGTGGTGCGGAGAACAATCGCCAGTTCTTCTCTCCACAGTGTCTGTGCGCTTGCTGGTGGTGATGCCGGTGGGGTGGTGCGACCTTGGGGCTGCATCCGCGCGGCAGTAGCGGCCACGCGAGCTACAGAGGGCAGCATCTGCGGCTGCAGCCGTAACAGGCGTTCAATGGCTACATGTCGTTTCTGATTTGCTCCTCTAAGCCTCGTGTGGCCTGCAGTTGCTGCACCAGCTTCGGCTGCTGCAACTGCTACAGGAGGGGCCGCATGGGCAGCAGCAGCAGCAACAAACGACAGATAAAACGAGGAGGAGTAAACACCATCAAGCGCCCGTGGATCAGCCACAACGTTTGCTGCTGCTGCTGCTGTTGCTGCTGCTGCTGTTATCGTTGTTTCGGCTCCTGGTCCGCCCGCAGACGAAACACACGCCTTGCCTTTCTTGCGTTTACCAGTGCCCTGCTGCTGCTTTTGTGGCTGCCGCCGTTGCTGCCGTAACCCTCGACCGCTCGCTACAGCATCTGCAACCGCAGCTGGTGCTGTTGCCTGTTGCCAAAAGTGTTTCACAGCCGTTGCTTGTGAGAAGCTCCCCTTTTGCTGCAGCTGCAGCGCAAAGGGCCCCAAAACGGCAGTGTTTGTCAAGCTGCATAGGCAAGCGCGACGCGTTGGGGCAAGTGGCAAGCGCGGGTGTACAGATACCGCGAAGCAGGATAGTAGCGTATTCCTTAAAGACACAAAGGAGAAAGCAGCAGCGTCTACTACGGTTGCTGAGAAGGAGATCCGCTGGTCCAAATAACCCCTTGCGTGCAACATTATTCCAGATATACAGCAGTGACGCTCGGCAGCCGGCGTCAATTAAGGGCTTTTGTGCATAGTTCATGTTCTCATCCGCGCAAGCACACTTTCATGTGTGTATAGATGTACGTATATCTAATTTAGTGCAGATGCACATCTACAAATGATAAAGTGTGCATTCATATGATGCCGTTATGCATGGTTAGGCTCGTCACTTGTACGCAGATAATGAATACAGCGTTTGATATGTTCATGCATATGCGTATGCGCGGGTTAGTTGGCTGATTTATACAGGTATATATTCATGTAAGTGTACACGCATACAGGTGTATACGCACGCATACATTTTCATAAACGCGACAATACCAGATATTTCTTGCAGTGAATAACGACAAGGAGGGGGAACAAGTGCGAGGGACCAGAGTGCCGAGGCCCGTTGTGTAAACTCAATGTAGTAAAGGCATCAATTTGCTGATGCTCCTGTTCTGCATTGTGTGAGGAGCATCGTATGATCAGTCTACGAAGATGCATGAAAATGGCGGTTGAAGACGAAGGGTTAGCTGGGCTCATCAGACTCTGCCGATAACACCTGTCGGGTTGCAAGTTTCATGTGAAGCAAAGACTTTGGCTGCCACCACGCAAATTAATGGTGTTTATAGTCAGAAAATCATTCAATCTAAATCCAGTGAATTATGTAATCGCCATGTCGCAGACATCGACAACAGTAACAACGTTAAGGTGGGCCCCAGGGGCCCCGCTTGGGGGCCCCACAGGGACCTTGTGGACTACACCCTGTAGCCCCGAGGACTGTAATACGACAATTGTTCATTTAAAAGTGTAAACGCGACATTCTAGCAAATTTACGTGTGTGGGTATTGCCAGTACGTAGACATGCGCGCAGAAGCTGGTCTATTGATTCGCATGCGCCCAAAAAGAAAAAGGAATGGAGTGACCAGTGGAAGTAAGCGATCTGAAGCTGCTGTTCTCGGAGGTTGGCAACAGAACTAGCAAACATATTCATTTCCTTCTTCTCCAGGGACCCGTTATTTAGGCCTGAAATTTTCATTGCCTCAGCGTCTACGTATGCTTGCAGTAGGTCTAGTCATAGTCGGCACCCTCGTTAGTTCCTATCCTTCGCGTAGCATAGTTTGCCCGCAGTTGGCGGAGAAGCACTTATTTATCCTTACTAGGCGACGGCCAAGCAAACAGGTTGCATTCAAGCGATCGGAATGTTCCAGCAATTGTCTACAGTGTTGGTGCAAGCGACAGAGATTGCCTGCGCGTACTTTAAAATAATAAACAGATGCTGCCGGCAGCCAACTCTAAGTGATGAAAGGCTCTGGGGGAAGCACCACAATGGAGGGAGCTACTGTTTATTCTATACACGTGGTTCTGCGCTTTGTATTTTTAGGCAGCCATCTGCTGCGAGTTGGTTAAGTAAAACGTGGCTGCGTTGTCCTCGACTACACATCCATGCACATGTAAAGGAGCGAACGCTCTGCGCTTGCTTATTTAAGTAGCTTCAAAACAAAATAATATTAGCTTTGATGCCTTGTGCTGGAGCAACAGTAATTGAACATTAGAGTGGGTTGTAGGCAGGTCTTATTCCTTAATGCTAAATATTGTTATATTGAAGGCGGAATGAGGGAAAAAAGCATGGCGAAGCGCATGCGAAAACGCAGCATCTGGACATTCGAAATAAAACGAACTGCCGTTTTTCACAATAGAAGTCCACGGTGTACTGGAGCAGTAACAGAGAAAGAACAATGGAACACGCAGGTAAGGAGGTACCTAATTCGTACCTATAAAACATAAAAAGAAGCGCAGGGCTTTATTGGCCTTTGGTACACTGCAGGACAAGCAGGCACAAGGCTTCAGGCGATTCCATGGACCTTTGTCCACTCTACATACACATGAGGCAAAAAAATAAAAATACCCCTCGCACAATCCAAATGGTGCACTCCAAACAGTGCAAACAAGCTGAGAGGGATATACGTGGAGCACGTGTAACACAAAGCAAATAATCTCGAATGCAAATAACCACATGCACCTAGAGGCTGACAGGGTAATGACTGGAGCCTTCACAAAATTGAACTCATGGGATTTCTGCGATGGCATATGATTTTGCTGGATATCTCTGAGGTCCCTGAGTGTTTTCACATTGAAAGAGCTCTCCCGGAAATTATGTGGAGCTTTTCTTGGACCTTCTTAGCTGTTTGCATTCCATCAAGCAATCTTTGCCTGGCCCGTTCGTCACTTCCCCCGACCTGCATCTGCTGGTTTAGATCAGTGAGGTGTCTTGTCCAGGACCCTGCGCAGGCATCAACGGCCTGCTGCAGGGATGCTTCTGCTTCTTTGATTTCTTTGGAAAGAGTTCCCAGGGATGATCCAAGGGTAGACAGTCCACGAGTAGCACTGAGAATATTATCAATTCCATCGTAAACTTTCTTTGCGTCATTTAGTGCCTTTCTCAATTCCACTAAAGCCAGAATTGCAGGATCACTTGGTTGGAGAACGTGCCCACCTAACATGCGCTGCATGTGGTCATGGGCACGGGCAAAACTGGACTTGAGTAGGTGTACTTGCGAGTTACATGATTTAGCCCAATGATCTTTCATTCGTTCGGCCAGACGTTTTGCCAGCTGAGTACTTTGTGTTAAGGTATTGATGAAGCTTTGTCGCTCCTGATCGCTAACTTCTTTGGAGAAAACAATTAATTTAAGGTCTTTTAAGAGGTCGACAGCTTCACGCAGCAATTCCTCAAAATCACTTGTACTAACTGCTTCGCCTTTAGAAATATTATGTTCTGCAAGCTCTGCAGAAATAATCCACGCATTCAACCCTGAAGATCGGGTGTAAAGGGTCATTAGATCCAAGTGAAAGGGGGGAGAATAACCTGCGGGGAAGTTCTGTTTTGGTCTTGGTGGGGCTGCTGGTCCTTCTCCAGAAGAGATGCTTGCAGCACCAGCTGGTGGAGCAGCGACTGCTCCAGCAGGAGCCCCAGGAACGTCTTGACCGTGCTCCTGCCCAGGTTGCCGCTCCGGCTGGCAGGGATTTTCCCATGGATGATCTGACATACGGCGCCCTTTCGTTGTTCTATATGCGTTTGTGGTTGGAATGTGGTAGACGCATCTAACGAGTAAAAAGATAAAAACGAGGACTGCCAGCAACGGAGCAACTTCCGCGGCAAAACGGGCCAGGGTAGGGGTGCTCACGGAGGGGTGTGGCACGGCATTACCGTTTTCTGTCAAGCTGAAAGGAACAGAACTGAAAAATTCCTTATTCACCAAAGTTGGTGAAGCCGCACCATACGTGCCGTGCCGCTGCAGGCCCGCGGGGTCAGGGTTAAGAATAGTCGGGATCGAAGGCATTCTTATCCGCCTTTACAGAATTATCCCACCCAGAAGAATTAAAAAATTGGGAAAATGCACGTAATTTGCAATTTCAAGTAGTGCGCCAAACTTGGTACCAAAACGTCGCACCACTCGTCTACCACGAAGACGCCGCCATATGCGGGGTCGGTTTTCGAAGCGTGGTGCTGAATGGCGATGACCAAAAGTAGGAGAAACACGTATATCTAGTTAGGGCAATACCAACCGACAAATGATGTTAATATCTGTTACTTATGTCTCCGTTTCGACTGCCTGGATGCAGCCTACTGCAGATTTCGAAACTGTCGGTTTCGAACCGCTGAACATTTCCCGTGTATACTATGCGACAACGACGGTGTCTCGATTATGAGTTCGCAGTAACAGGCGTAAATGTTAGCTAAAAATATGCAAAATTACGATTTCCATTTGATCTACGTGACAAACTTCGTACGTGACAAAATTCGGTCTGCAACGTGCAGATCGTTTCAGCTGCAGCGTGGACTTTCGGGAGTTACTTCCTCTGCTTCTCCCTTGCATGAAGTCTGGCTAGTTCATGTCAAGTAACAGTTAAACAGGTGCTAACAGTGTCAGCGCCCACAAGAGGAAGGGCCTGCCTCACAGTTGCCTAACAGCAAAGCTTTGACGACTGCTTAGTGCAACACTTGGTAGGTCACCACCTCTCAACAGGGAGTTGCCCGAATCACTTGGGCCAGTGTCCCCAGGTAAACTCAATGGGGAGGGGAAGGGGCACTACTTTGTGGAACTATACAGGTGCTCACAACGAACCCCGCCTCGCATCGAGGACTTCTGTTACAATAGGTGCCAATGGGGCCTCCCGCCTCCCGCAGCTCATTCATATTCCAGCAAAAAGTTCTTTCAGTATTACTGAGACTTATTCCAAAGGTATTCTAGTTTCATCATGTATATGTAGTAGTGGGTTGGCCACTTTTTGCCACACCGCCTCCAAGTGTTCCTGACTTCTAAGTTACACCTTTGCGTTTTTTCAAGTGTACCTTCTTCAATTAAAATTTTACTTCCTTCAGTTCTGTGGCAGCTGAAGCGATATGCGCCAGCATAAGCATCAGCTGGTCCCGGTATAATTGCTCTTTCATGCGTAGGCCCTTCGGCGCAAATAAGGCCATCTCTTGAAATCCAGATATTTATTTGATGCTGTAGGGAGGGCCTCTCACGGGGCATGCAATGGTCGGCTGAGTCTCAAAAATCAAGAGATTCGCATATAGAATTCAAACCACCATGCAATATTGAATTTTCTCTAGGGCGGGAAAATACGAGACAAGACGGACAATCGCGGCTTTTGGATCCACCTGCAGCTGCAGCCGAATTAAATTTCATTCCCAAAGCATGCAATAGGCTAAAACCAAGGAGGTCCGGAACGAAAAAGCCTTCCAGGAAACTGAGAGCGTTGCATGCAAGGCTAATGCGCCCCTTTCTGGGGCTTAATGAAATCTGCAAATCGAAAGCATGGTCGTACCATTACATGCTTAAAATTTGTGCTCGTATTTATTTTCCAGTTGAGCACTTGCTGCCAAATAAGGGCCAACGCACTGCGTAGCCACCATCCACAATTTCCGGTGCAAATTGGAGTTGGTTATGCTTGCACGTGCTTTTGACTTGCAGAAGGGGTTGCAGTAGGGTGTATTGCAGCTCGTGGCAGGCGATGGCCTCCCTGCTTTTGCCCCAGAATATGGGTCGCTGAGCCCGGGAGCTCCGGAGGGAGGGGAAGGGGGGAGATCACAGCTACATTTGGAAAGTCTTGACCTGAATATCTTGAGTATAATGTAGCGCACTCCATCCTTCGAATAAGATCAGTGACTCTCAGTACAGCAACTCGAAACCCGCGGAGGAAATGTGGTGGTCAGGCTCCAGCTCTCAGGAAAGAGAGCAAGGCAGTCTGAGATATATGGCCATATTTGTGGAGGCAGTGTCTAGAGAAAAGAACCATCAAACTGTCCTTGCCTGCATAAATGCAGCATAGTCTGTGAGATGCCGGCATATCTATCTGAAGCGGGCGCATGAACCCCAGCCCCAGTTGACAAACGGCAAGCCAGTATAGGTTGACAATCACTGTTTACAGTGTTTGCCTACAAATCCAATAAGGCCTGCCCTTGTTTGTGCATGGGGCTGTCTTGCAATTTGAGGCTTGTGTTACAGCAAGTTGTGTTGCAACTATAGCATGCCGCCTCCTAGCCTGCAACTCTAAGCGTTTGCGTCGCTCAAGTCAAGATGGCTGGAGAATCGGGAATGATTCTAATTCCATTTAGGGAACTCTTATGAGCTGAAGTGCAGAGAAAATGTATCAGATAACATTCGTCGGATACGATCCAGAATTCTCATGACCGCTCGCCGCCAATCCAAATGATGCACGGGCTATACGAGGAGGCCTCGAACCCGTGGATCAGTCCTTACAATACTCGTCGAACCTGACACACAGCTTCAAAGTTTGGACCTATAATTCACTAAATACTTTATGGAGAATAAAGCACGATACAACATTTCAGCCAAGTACCGTTGAAATCGCCCCCATTTGTGCAAAGCCCAGCCCAGTGAGGGCGGTAGGGCATCCGCCATGCATTAAACTTATATATATATTATATATATAT